GGTAGGAGAGGTAGGAGGGAGCGAGGCCGTGAATGGCCTTGTAGGTGAGGATGAGGTGCTGTATGACTGCGCCCACGAAGACTCTCAATCACTACACTTTACAGTAAATCCTGCCAAGTGCCTTGAGATGCTCCCCCCCACCTGATGTGTGAAAGGAACCTTGTTGGGTTCTGTAGCTCAGTGGTTAGAGCACTCGCCTCGCAAACGAGAGACCTGGGTTTGATTTCCGCGCAGGGCCAAACCTTAGGCAAGTTTCCTTACTCTACACACCTGTTTACCAGCAGTGAGCAGGAACCTGGTTGTTAGTCGATTGGCGGATCGCTTTTCCGGGGGTAATAATTAAAAAAATAAAAACTTGTCACTCAACCCACCACTGTTAGTGGGACGCTTGCTTGAGTTATTCAAAGTACCGGCTGTAAGCTACGGATTTGCTGATGCCATGAATTCCACTGGTCTAACTGCAGAAGACAGACACTGTTTGGATGTTCTCTGACTATTTGCCTGAAACACCTCTGCACGGAGTTGCCAACGAACACAGGCCTAACTTGCACAGGTTCTGCTCAGCCCGACTCCGTCAATAGCACACTCTGGCCTCTGAGCCAGGAGGTTGTGGATTCAGGCCTCGCGGCGGGACTTTATGAGTTTTTCGTCTCAGCCCTACATTGCCGTGCAGTGCCGGGAGAGCGGGGCTTTGTCAGAGGTGCCGTGCTGTGGATGAGACGCTAAACCGAGCTCGGGTCTGTGCCTCGTTAAAGATTCCGTGGCACTCGTCGAAAAGAGAAGGGAGTTTCTGCGGGAGTCTGGGCCAACAAGTCCCCCCCGGACAAAATGGATGATTCGCTTCACGGAACTTTGCTGTGCGCGAGGCCCAGCTCCCACATTCACCTACAAAGTCAGCAGCAGTCACTGCACTTTCCCAGTAAATCCCATGAAGCGTTTCGAGATGTCTTGGCAATGTGATGAGGCGCTGCATTAACTATGTTATTATGATTATTAGAGCCCTTGCATGTGGTCTGTGCATGACGCCCTCCTCTCTGTAATACATCCCAGCTGCCTCTTTAAAACGCTTGACATTCTCCCTGGCTCGAGCCTGGTGGAAATGAGTCTACCACACGCTAGCGCTCACGCTAATGCCACCGCCAAAATTCCAAGCAGCATTTGTGACGTCAGAGGGTGGAAGGAGAACTCACACCCTGACTGGCAGAGCAGTTTACACTGCTATCTGTATCTGCGTGACTCGATGGTGTGGGGTGTGTGGGTGTGTGTGTGTGTGTGTATGGGTGTGTGTATGTGTGTGTGTGTGTATGTGGGTGTGTGTGTGTGTATGTGGGTGTGTGTGTGTATGTATGTGGATGTGTGTGTGTGTATGTGGGTGTGTGTGTGGGTGTGTATGTGGGTGTGGGTGTGGGTGTGTGTGTGTGTTCCATGGCTCAGATGATTGGGACGATACTCCGGGTCCCTAGATATAAAACTGTTTGCTCCCGACACAGGAGTTCAGACTTTGTTTAACGCACGTTCAATATCTCGAGTTCCACATCAAAGTAAAGAGGTTCACATTAAAACAAATATTGGTCACTTAATCCATGACTGTTTGTGGGGAACGCTGCTGTGTGCAATTGGCTGCCGCGTTTCGCCCACAGAAACATACAGTCAATTCACTTTACAGTCTATTCTGTGAAGCGCTTTGAGACGTCTCGAAGACTTGATAAGGCGCTGTATCAAATGCAAGGATTATTATTATTATTACATCTACAAGGTTCGCTTGTAGACCAAGATGTGCTGGAGCTATCTTACACCACAGCCAAGAGCAGTAGATGTTGGAGATGATTATATGTGATTCGGTGCTAGGTGTGCAGTATTTATCTCCACGTAAATTCCAATTCAGGTATATGAGATTCCAGCTTTACTCTCTCTCTTGCCTGGTGTCAAATGAGTCTAGACAGTCTGGGCTCAGCTCTCTGTGGAGATTAATCCATTGGAAAATCTAACTCTATTAGTGCAAAAGGTCACAATACTTCAGCTTGTTCCATTAACGTCAAATTCCACATGGGAATGGAGGGAAGAAAGTGCTTCTGAAGAGGCTGATGCAGAGAGCGAGCGAAACCTTTACACTGTGTTTAATCCATGCTACACTTTCACCTGTCCCTTCCCACCTCCTACGATCCCGCTACTGAGAAGTGCTCTGAAACCTTATCCAACATCAAGGTGGCTGTATGTACAAATACAACTTGTTGTACATGAACAAAATCGGTCGTTCGCTTCATGGCTGTACGTGAGGGTGTGGCTGGGCGCTAATGGGGTGTCACGTTCGCATATGAAAAACATGGTCTCACTAGACTTTACAGTAACTCCTGCAAAGCGCCTCGAGGCGTCCCCTTGATGGGAAAGGAGCTGCATAAACTGGGCGGGGGTGGAGGGTGGGGGGGATGGTGGAGAGTGGGGGAGGGGGGCGGAGGGTGGTGGAGGGCGGAGGTTGGGGGGGGATGGTGGAGAGTGGGGGGCGGAGGGTGGCGGAGGGTGGGATGTCTTCAAAGGCTCCTGTGGTAATTGCCGGTGATCTGGGTAGCGGTGACGAACCATGTTAGTCATGGCGCAGACGCCTTGGGCTATATCCACATTCTTCCTGTCACAGTTTGTCATGCGCTCAGTCGGAAAGGAAAATTCTCTTCGATCAGCACAAACAGCGCATTCAACCACTGTTTGTGTTGCTGGCAGTCTAACGTTTCTCTCATGCATAATTGATTCATTCGCTTCAGATCGGGGCCCGTGGAGACTGCCAGCTTTCTGGCGGTGCGTGGAAGCGCATCGAAAATGATTGCTGATTTCATCTCCAAAACCACCATGTCGACAGAGGCAGGCTGTGCTAGGAACAGGGGCTGGCGAGCGTGCGAGCGAGTGAGGGCTAGGCTTACACCATCAGAATGTTTTGCGAAAGGAAAAAAAACCCTCGTCCCGGTGACCAATATGTTCTTTTGCAAAGCGCAGTGACTGGGGAGCTGTAAAACGAGGGAGTGGGAGATCCTGGGACCTGCTCTGGGACCTGTCACAATTCCCAAAGTGACCGTGTAAAGTTTGTCTTGTACCAAAGGTACCACGTGGGTACCTTTGAAATAAACAAACACGCACCCACACACGCACCCACACCTACCCACACTTGCATCCACACACAAACACACACATACATGCAAATGTCCTGTGATGTCCTGTGATGTAGCGGTCAGAACACTCATCTCGCAAATGAGAGGACGTGGGTTCAATTCCGAGGCAGGGCGAAACATTAGGCAAGTTTCCTTACCCCACACGCCTCTGTTTACCAAGCAGCAGGTAGGAACCTGGATGTTAGTTGATTGGCTGATCTCTTTTCCGGGGGTAATAATCCCTTCAATCAATCAATCGGTCGGTCAATCCACGACTGTGTGTGGGGACACTGCTGTGCGCAATTGGCTGACGCATTTCACCCACAATATATACAGTCAATTTACTTTACAGTCTATTCAGTGAAGCACTTCGAGACATCTCGAAGACGTGATAAGGCGCTATAACAAATGCAGGGATTATTATTATTACTGTCCAAAGTAGTACTTGTTTAAAACCTGAGTTACAGCTTCAATTTAATTCTGAACAACAGATGCATTGTGTGGACAGTACCTTTAGCACCAACGTGAAGTAGTGCACTTGCCAGAACAAGATGAATTTACAGAAAGTAAATGAAGCCTGGGGACTGTGTTACATGGTAACGCACTTGCAAGACACAGCTATTGAAACCCAAGGTTTTGCTACAGCCTTGAACGTACTTTGGAAAAACAAGGTTTCTTTATATTGTGAAACACAGTCAAAATCCTGTTTGTTCTCTTCGCTCTTGCTTCCATTGGCATTTCCCCCAACACAATTTGCATCTTTTGTTGCTCCCGCTGTTATGGCTGCTGTACCTTCACATGTGCAACCTGACTCATGTAACAGGAGGAAGGAACTGCTTTACTGCATACTGATGCTAAGCCTGGGTTCTAATGAGGTTAGCTGGCAGGAGGAGAGGATTCTCACTGAGAATGTCTGGGTCCTGTTGAGCAGAGCCACAATTCCTAAGGGTTACGAAAAAGAGTATTACTCTTGCTCGCGATTTTCTGGATTGCAAATAAATGCAAGAGTTGGTGGCGCTCTCACCTCTGAGTGAGGCCTTCAGCCTCTCTGCCTCCACCCATTGGAACTCCATCCCACAGACCCTTCGTCTCGCCTCGCCTCCTCCCTTGCCGCCTTCAAGGCACATCTCAAGACCCTCCTTTGACCGTGCCTTGCATTTGATACAGCGCCTGATCACGTCTTCGAAACGCTTCATAGAATAGACTGTAAAGTGAATTGACTGTATATTTTATGGGTGAAACACGGCAGCCATTGCACACAGCAGTGTCCCCACAAACAGTGGTGGATTGAGTGACCAAATTATTATTATTGTTATTATTTTTGAAGGGATTTGTAGAAGTGTGTAGAAACACTCGCTCGTGTCTCACCAAGTGCAGCGCTTTGATTTGAAAGCCTCATTTCTGGCCCGATCTCTGGGCAGTCACGCCATCAGCCTTTGTGGTGTGGGTGTCTGAGCAAGCGGCCCACAAACCAAATGATAATAGGGGAGGGGGTGGCTGGGAGAGGGAGGGGAGGGCATAACGATTAGATTAACTATTAATTCCCTCCTGATAAAGTCACTTGCGCCATGGCCACTAAATTGGCAAGTTGCAAATTTAGCTGCTAAACACGCAGTCAGTCAGAACACTTCACTGTACAATTCCGCGAAGCACTTTGAGGCGTCTGTTGTCCGTGATGTGTCGCTGTGACAGCCACGAGGGTTGTTATTGTTAATGTTAATCTTCGTGGCTAAAACCTTTGGATAGGGTTTGATCTTCAGCCGTTCGTTCCTGAGGAGCCTGCTGGTGCGTTTGCTGGTTTGACACACCACACCTCGTGTTATTTTCATTTCTCCTAAAATTGCCTCTTATTTTTTCTTCCAGGGTCGATGACATTTTGACAGTGGTCAAGGCTAAAGCACAGTGGCCTGCCTGGCAACCTCAGAACGTGTAAGTCCGAATCCTTACCTAACGTCTTTTGAACATTTGTTCTTCAAGCTATCATTACAGTCGCGCAGTGTCACTGGGAGCATTTATGGAAAAAAAAAGTGTGCATGTGGAGTCCTGTAGTTTAGCGGTTAGAGCACTCATCTGACAAACGAGAGGACTTGGGCTTGATTCCCGGGCAGGGTGAAATGTTCGGCAAGTTTCCTTACTTTACACGCCTTTGTTTACCTGGCAGTATGTAGGAACCCGATTGTTCGTCGATTGATGGTTCGCTTTTCCGAGGATTATAATCCCTTCAAAAAAAATATACAAAACTAATGCTAATTTGGTCACTTAACCCACCACTGTTTGTGGGGACGCTGCTGTTCGTAATTGGCTGCTGCGTTTTGCCCACAAAATATAGTCAATTCACTTTACAGTATATTCTATGAAGCGCTTTGAGACGTCTCGAAGACGTGATAAGGCGCTGTATCAAATGTAAGAATTATTATTGTCAAATGCGAGGATTATTATGTTATTATATTAAAAAATCTTGTGTTACTGTTTTCCAGGAATTGTACTTTTTTTGGAGAAAAAGGGAAAGGGTTCTTTTCTCCATGAATATTGTATTACGTGTCTCACAAAAGGTCCTGTTAAATCCATTGAGGGTTAGAGTAAAAGTTTTTTTTTGCGTTATTCATCTGGTGGAATGGAACGTGGAGTTATTTGAACTTTATCGTGTTTTCCTTTCTACTGCCTTATACTTGTCACCTGAAATTGATCTGAGAGATATCTCTATGGAGTTGCCACTCCAAAAGTTACGCTTTCAACTCAGGTTTCATAACTTTCTGGCTGTTAAAATTCACGCAGTCTAATTTACTGCCAGTATTTTTTTCCCCTCTGTGTCTACTACATTTGGTCATTCACTTCACAGCTGTTTGTGGGACATTGTTGTGTGCAAATTGCCTGCTCCATTTGCCTACAGTTGCAGAGGTGTTTTGTTTGACAGTAACCCTGTGAAGTCCTTCGAGACATTCTCCCTATTACTAAAATAATAATCCTCGCATTTGATACAGCGCCTTATCACGTCGTTGAGTCGTCTCAAAGCCTTCACAGAATAAACTGTAAAGTGAATTGACTGTATATTTTGGGCTGAAACGTTTGTATGTTTGTACATCAAATGCAAATAATACACAATATATACATTTTTCAGCACCCATCGCAATCCGGATTTCAATAATTTTACTTTTTGTCCTTTTGACGAGCATATGCACAAATTGCTTGTATCAGAACCTTAGAAATTTACAGCCTAGAAGAAGATCATTTGGCCCTTTGTGTCTGTGTTAGCTCTATTGAAGTATAATTCTTTCAGGACAATTTAACTGTCCTTTTTATACATCTACCTCGTCCCCTTTTGAAAGGTAATATGGATGTGGGTGTAAACCCTAACAGCTCTGTGCGTGACGAAAAATTCTCTTAATCTCCCCCATCTGCTCCTTCGCCGGCTATCTTTAAACAAGGGATATGTTGAGAAGTGCTGCTGTGTCCTACCGTGTTTGCTACTCTGATAATTTATTGGGGACGTTCACTTCGCCCCCACATATGAAGTTGTAAATACAATTCTGTTCACACTCACATGGAGCACGGAACAGTTTGAAGGTCAGACATCTGTCGCCTGTGCTTCTGTGTCTGTGGCAGCAGAGACGTCTCCCACACGCCTGAGAGTCATGTTGCTAAACCACTGCCCTTCAGACGGGGATTGTAGTAAAAACACAGGTTAGCCGTTTAATGGGGGAAGTTAATTCACAGTCAGAACGCCCGTCCTCCCTCCCTCCCTCCCTCTCTCGCTCGCTCGCTCGCTCACTCACTCACTCACTCACTCACTCCACAGTTTACAGTCCTAAAACTTTGTGGAGTCCTGTAGTTCAGTGGTTAGAGCGCTCGAGAGCACAAACGAGAGCACTTGGGTTCAATTCCCGGGCAGGGCGAAATGTTGGCAAGTTCCTTTACTCCAAACACACGTCTCTGTTTACCAGCAGAAAGTAGGAACCCGGTTGTTAGTCAATTGGCGGATTGCTTTTCCGGGGGTAATTCACTGAATCCGCGCTGAGTGTCAAGGTACCTGATGACACCGGGAGAGGTTCTTTTTGTCTTGGGGGTGGGGGGGGGGAACGAGAGAGAGAGAACCTTGCACAATGGACGGAAAACTGGACGGAAGGTTGAGAACAAAGAGAATCAGGAGCTGTGAGTGTAAGGACTGTGGAGGAATTGATCCCTCAACCTCTTCTAATCACATGTTCAATAATGAACCTGGGGAAGCAAATTTTCAGAGCCCATCAACTCCGTTAGCTGTGTGCAAAGTGACAGCTTGGGCCCGGGTACCAACAATGGTCAATTAGCAATGAGGGATATAGCACCTGGGCAGCTCCCTGCCAAATGCCTGCTGTAGTCAGAAACATGACATGGTATCACACAGGGAGGACAAGCAATTAATTCCTGAGTAACAGGGACGGTACTGAGGTTTGCAAGTGGGCCAATTGATGAAGCTTCCAATGAGAAACGGTAATTATTAAGGCTAACACAAATGCACTGCTGTGGTCTGATCGCCATATATAAAAAATAATAATAATGCTGTCGCTCAATCCAATCCATCAGAGAACACACGCCTAATAATAATCCCTCAAGAAAAAAACCCAATAATAATTTGGTCACTTCAATCCACGACTGTTTGTGGGACGCTGCTGTGCGCAATTGGCTGCCACGTTTCACCTACAAAATATAGAGTCAATTCACTTTACAGTCTATTCTGTGAAGAGCTTTGAGACGCCTCGATGACGTGATAAGGCACTGTATTAAATGCAAGGATTACTATTATTATTATTGTGGGATTAAGCCCCAACTCAGGAAACATTGGTAAACCCTCTCCCCCAGAGACAACAGGGCCACCTGCTCTCCTATAGCACGTTGTCAAATGAAACACAAAGTACAAAGAGCTGGGAAAGTTACAGGGAAGAATAGTCGGATTGGTCCGTGTCCATTGGGTGACCGAGCTGCACACACAGCCTCAAAGAGGAACTCAGATTATTTTGTTTCCAACAGAAAGGGGTACTCAGTGCAGAGTTTCACTGACACAGCGAGGAGTGCAGGAAGGATGCTTTGTCTCAATGGGCTATTAATATATGGAATAAATTTCCACCTTTGTGCTGAACATCACGTCATTAGACATATTTCCCCCAAAAAACGATAGGTTTCTGATGGAAGGAAATCCGAGTTGCAACAGTTCAGATCTAGGCCAAGATTATGATAACTAAACCTGGGTTAATTCCTGAGTAACAGCTCGAAAAACAGTAAATTATGCCGAGAGGACAGAATACCAAGTCGTACAATAGTGACACGAGAGGGAGACCAGATGGGTTGAATGGCCTGAACTCCTTATCTCGTGCTTATTGACTTACACCGCTGCATGAGTGATGGCCTGCCTCGTTTAATCCCATTTACGATCCAGTCGGTCATATTTCACCTCACCTTAATAGGGCACAAGTAATGCGATGAGCCCAGAACTGCAGAGAGAATGATCTGCTGCGACTCTCGGGCTGGCTGGCCACTGCTATCTAACAAAGTCTTTGAAATTCGCAGACGGCAGGCACAGGTTAACCCTCTGTGTGCTGGATATATTCTTGGGCTCCCAAAAGTTACCTGTCTTTAAGGAGGACTTGACGAATCCGACTAAATATACCTTGAGAGAAGCCTCAGGTAATCATCCCCTCCACTGCACCAGTGTGACACACCTCAGGGTTGTGTTGAATATGGCTTGGCGATGTGTTGCCAATTAGTGCTGAGCTGAGGCCAGTCTTGTTCTACCTGTTCACTGACTGGATCAAAGCTGCCCGACCTCTGTTCGTTGAGGAACCTCGCAGCAGAAGCTTTTGTTCATGAGTCTAGAACTCCATCCCATCCCAATCCCTCTGTCTCACTCCCCACTTTCTGATAGCCTCTGGGTGGGGAAAATGTCCTTACTCCACACGCCTCTGTTTACCTAATAGTAAGTAGGAACCCATTTGTTAGTCGATTGGCGGATTGCTTTTCTGGGGGTAATAATCCCTTTTAAAACAATAATAATAATAATAATAATTTGGTCACTTCAATCTGTGACTGTTTGTGGGACACTGCTGTGCGCCATTGGCTGCTGTGTTTCGACCACAAAATATAGTCACCCCACACTGTACAGTATACTCTGTGAAGTGCTTTGAGACGTCTCGAAGACGTGATAAGACACAATATCAAATGCAAAGATTATTATTATTATTATTGTCTTTCCCCCCTCCCGCAGCTTTGCCCCGTCACTCTAGCTAGGGTACCCACAAAACTATTTGAGACATCCTCCCAACATGAAAGGCATGTTGTGTGCACTGCTATTGTTACTTCAGGTGTAGATATTATTGGAAACTTTTTTCCAACCCTCTCTCAATACTGTGACTCTCACAGTTAGGAATTCAATTCTGAATGATTTACTGGAAGGGTTTCTGAAGGATATTTTTTTAAAACACACACACACACATACGCACACACACAGATTGCCAACCAGCTTTTGATGAGTCTCTAAACTAAACATATGTACAGCTCATTAATTATTCATCCACTGATGTGGAGAGTTTTTTTTAAATAATAAAATGCCCTAGTTTTTTCGTTGTTAGCCCTGTGACACAATGTTATCCCATCGAGTTCAATTAGTACTTTTTCTGCCGCATAGCTTTAAACGTGTTTCGGATTCTTAAAAAGTTAAAGAAACCTGCTTTTGTGTGTGGGGGGGAGGGGAGGGGGTGTGTTGTGTACAATATAGAGTCAATTCACTTCACATAATAATAATAATAATAATCCTCGCATTGGATATAGCGCCTTATCACGTCTTCGAGACGTCTCAAAGTGCTTCACAGGATACACTGTAATAAAAATTGACTGTGATTTTGTGGGCGAAACGTGACAGCCAATTTCTCACAGCAGCGTCCCACACACAGTCGTGGATTGAGTGACCAAATTATTATTATCAATTTTTTTTGAAGGGATTATCACCCTGGGAAAGCGATCCGCCAATCGACTAACAACCGAGTTCCTACTTCTCCTACTTACTGCTAGGTGAACAGAGACATGTGGACTAAGGAAATTTGCCCAAATTATTATTATTATTATAATCACCAGTGTACCTTTCCAACCACGAACAGATGTAAGATTAGCACAGACACGATGGGCTGAATGGCCTCGCTCTGCGCTGTAATTCTCTCTGGTTCTAAAGCTACATCTTCTCCGTTGTTCCCCGAGTGTAGACGGGCAGCGCCATCTGCTGAGTTTTCGGTCGACCAGAACCGGCACCTGATGTCCTTCGTGACGATGCTGGGCCCGAGCCCTGACTGGAATGTGGGGCTGTCGGCCGAGGACCTGTGTACCAAGGACTGCGGGTGGGTGCAGAGGGTCATTCAGGACCTCATCCCCTGGGATGCCGGGACCGACAACGGGGTCACCTATCTGGTAAGGGCCCACGACTAGCCGTAGCCTCTGGGAATGTAAGAGAACATTCCCCCCCCAGCCTGTTCCACCAGTTTCTCTAGATCGTTAACCGATCCCTTTTGATCCCAGTGGCGTGACCCTCTCGAAGCCAATTGGCTTTATTTTCTCCTTTTTTAATGAATGATTTCCCTCCCTCCCTCCCTCAAAGCAAAGCCAGCAGAGCCTTGGAGTGCATTGGCCCCTGGAGACTCTTAGCATGAAACCTTTTGGCTGGGAGACCAAACCCTTTCGACTGAGCCACTGAGCAATTTCCAAAGTTTTTTCCTGAAAGCCAGCCCCATTCCTGCTCATGATTGCAAGTCAGCCAGCTCCTTCACAGCCAAAATGAATGAAGCTATTTCTGGGAGGATGTGTGTGTGTGTGTGTGTGTCAAAGAGCTGAAAGAGCTGTGTCCGTCTGGGATCTAATGATGTTCTGTTGTCACGGTTTCAAACACCAGGAACGGAAACTCCTAAATGAACAAAAAACAGTGTGTTTCTGTATTCCAGTGGCCTGGTACAGTTTACAGCAGATATTGTGGTAAATCTTTAATGTGGTCAAACCACTCGATGGTTTACCAATGCATTGAATTCCTTCATCTTAGCATAGGATGGAATTCAGTTTTAACAACACCCGGACTGTCTGTTCAGTCATTCGTCTGTTCCAGTGAACATATGGACTGAGTGTGTTTTCCTTTCAAATAGTGACATTCTCGGCTGACAATATAAACTTCAGCCAATGGCGATTCAGGTCCGTCTCAAGATGTAGTTCTTTGTCCGCACTTTCGATCAACTTTCCCCTCACCAGCACCACCACCCACCCCTCACCAACGCCCACACACACACTTGGCTCCCAACACCAGCTGTTGGGGAATTATTATTGACAACCCCACCCTCCCTCCCACTTTTTATGATGTTCAGCAGAAAACAGAGTAAATGTTTGTTTGGGACATTCTTAGCTTCTCGCCAACTTTACCATTGATGGAAATCATTGCAATCTGAGCCACGTTATTCACATTCATTTCACAAAATCCCATCAGTTCCCTTTCAGGATTAACAGTCGAACAGCATTGAATTAGCTCCCTGTTTAGGCGGCAGTGAATTCCAAGGTGTGAGTAACTATCGTGGGGCTTGGACACGTGTGAGATTCACTTGGCTTTAGGCCAGAATGAATGGTGAGAGGGAGAGAGAGAGTCAGTGTGTCTGTATGCCTTGCAATTGAAGAGAACACAAATGAAGAATTACACACTGATTAAATAGACATCAGCAGCTACGGGGGACTTCAATACTCAGATGTATGGATGATGCAATTACAACTGTACAACCCGTGTTTGTTGAGCAAAGAAAAGTCTGTCTCAAGATGTGGCTCTTTGTCCGTACATTCACCTGAAACGATTTACAGGCAAGTTTACCTGATTTGACATGAAATTGGCAATCTCTCCTCCCTCCGAGAGGGTGAAAGGTCAGTGCTGTGAGTTACGAGAAGGGGAGAGGCTATCTCACAAGTGCAGGCTGGTCTCTCTGCTGAGATTAAGTGCTTTGGGGATGTCGTCCGATATAAAAGGCACGATATCAAGTGTAAGGATTATTAGTATTATTAATGATTATTTATTATTTCCATGGTACAAAACAGAAACAGCAACCATTGGAAGAACAGGGCCATCTACATACTCGCCCAACCAAGCTCCCTGGAAGATAGAGGGTGACTTTCTGCCAATGAATTTGATCAGAAAGGATTGTTAAAGTAAAATGGGTGGTCGAGAGTTTAACATTGTTTCCTTTGTCTCCTCTATTTCAAGTCACCAAACCAGCCAACTGCCCCCCAAGAGAGAATCAAGCCCCCTGACCAGCCTGGATCATCCCAGGAGCCCCTTCTATGACCCTGAGGGAGGCCCTATTATCCCTGTGTCCAGAGTGGTGATAGAGAGGATTGCACGGAAGGTAAAAAAAACAACCTGTGTATATTGTGTTTTTATTCAAGACTGATGAGACCTGTTTACATTCATCTGAAACGATTTACAGTCAAATTTACAATGTTATTTCTGGAACGTTTCCAACGCCTTAATTATATAGTTTCCAGTGTAATCGCCTTTGACTATTTAAACACTTGCATGTGTGGATTATGCTTAGTCGTTTATTTTATGTATAGATATAGATATATAGATATACTAAAAAAACGGTCACTCACAGTCGATTGAGTTGGAATGTTTTTTTTCCCATTTGGATAACAGTCGAAACGCAGATTGAGGAAGGACGCACTTCACACAGCTTTTACTTTATGCCCAGCGACAGCGAGGTCACACTGCAGGACGGACTGGACTGTAAATTGGGAGATTGGGATCTCGAAGAGCAAATCCCCCAGTTCTCCTTCGTCCTCATGTCCCGCCCACCGTGATCAGGATTGTTGTTGGGGAGTTTTATAATAATAATAATAACAATAATAATAATAATAATAATAATAATAATAATAATCCTTGCATTTGATATAGCGCTTTTCACGTCGGGAGGACGTCCCAAAGCGCTTCACAGAATAGACTGTAAAGTGAACTGGCTGTATATTTGTGGGCAAAGTGCGGCAGCCAATTGCGCACAGCAATGTCCCACAAACAGTCGTGGATTGAAGTGACCAAATTATTATTGATTTTTTTTCTTGCGGGATTATTATTAGGCATGTGTTCTCTGACGGACTGAAAAATCACTCCATAGCTATGGGCTGAACAGCCAAACCAGCCTACGTTAAGCAGATGTCCAGGCACTCAACTGCAATGCATGAGTGACAGAGAAAACCAGAGTCAGGGACGGTCTTCAGTTGTTGACTGACTTTAACTGCCTTTATCAATGATGTGAACGAGCACATCACACCTCGCGAATTTGCTCGCACCCTCTGCCCGACCTTCTCATTGGTCCTGTTGGAGATGGGAGGAGAGCGAGCCACATCCCCTTGTTCACCCAAACTCACAGTCACTACACTTTACAGTAAAATCTTTTGAAGCGCTTTGGGACATCATCCCCGATGTGTGGAACGGCGCTGTATCAAATGTAAACATTTCCTACCAAAGGCAGGAAGACAAGGTTAAAGAGAGCAGTGTAGAGTGCACACCCACCGCCATCGCAGATTAACATTTTATTACACTTCCTCGGTTTATTCAACAGAGTAATTGTCAGCAGATTAGAGATGTAAATTCCCAAGGAGATCATTGGCTTTTTGCCTCAGTTTCTTTTACATCGAAACGCACGAGTGAGTCTGTCTTGTAATGGATCTTTTACTGATCTTTCCACAGGGGGACCAATGCAATATTCAACCTGATAATGTGGACGATATAGTGGCAGATCTTAGCCCCGAGGAGAAGGATGAAGGTATTGTGTTACATTTAATTCCAAATCATTGTGTCACCCAGACCCCAGCTACACATTACCGCGCTGATGTAAACAAGGTTATTATCAAATAAGAATCATTTCATTTAAAATTTCTTCCTAAATCGTTCCTTCAGGTTATGGATTACGAGCATATATGAGCATATTTCAAAGTCTGAGGCAGTCGAGGTCTTATCCTTATTTACAGGCATGAAATGGTGACTAGATGTTCAGCCACTTTAAGAAGTACCCAAACATCATGAATGTTTCTGTGATACACCCCCATAACAGATGCCTTAAGCTTTAGCCAGCTGGATCTCTGCTGAAACTCCTGCCCTGTGTAGATGAACACTCCTCACGGATAATATAATAATCAGACTAGATAAGCTGTTTTATCTTATACTGAACAGTAGAGCCAGAGGACACAGCCTGAGACTGAAGTGGGGGTTAAATTCAGAACAAATCTGCAGAGACACTACTTCAGTGGGCGAGTGGTAAAAGTATGGAACAGGCTTCCGAGGGAGTCAGAGGGTGGGAGCAGAAAGTGTTGTTTATTTCAAGAACAACTCAGAGAGATTTCTGCTAGAAAATAATATCTATAATAATGGTTGTGTGTGTGAAGGTCTGTGAATGGGGGAGAAGATCATTAAACACATGTAACCTGGCGTTTGCAGACGACACTCCAGAAACGTGCATCTACTCCAATTGGTCGCAGTGGTCGGCCTGCAGCTCCTCCACGTGTGAGAAGGGCAAACGGATGAGGCAGAGGATGCTGAAGGCACAGCTGGACCTCAGCGTGCCTTGTCCACACACTCAGGACTTTGAGCCGTGTATGGGCCCTGGTTGTCAAGACTATGGTGAGTGAGCCCAGATATCTATCGTGTCTATGAGATGCAGAATGATTGAAAGTGATGAATCCTCATCTGCTTCTGTCACTCTGACCCACTGCCGTCCCCTCACCCCCACAGATGTCTCTACCTGCATGATGTCGGAGTGGATCAGCTGGTCGCCTTGTAGTATTTCTTGTGGAATGGGCATGAGGTCCAGAGAGAGATACATCAAACAGTACCCTGAGGATGGCTCTCTGTGCCAACTACCCACCGAAGAGACGGAGAAATGCAGCGTGAATGAGGAGTGCAGTAAGTACATTAACAGGAGACATCAGAGTTAGCCACCGGGTCGGTCTTTACCATGTTTTTGTTTCCAAAATGTTTAAGATCTTAAATCAATTTAGGAGAGCGCAGAATTGTGGAAAATTTGTGCATTCTTTCTCGATTCCGAAGCCGTCCGTTTTAAGTTCCGTGCTTGGTGCATTGGGCAACTTGTCTAAGGTTTCGCCCTCATATCAAATGCAGGGATTATTATTATTATTATTCTATCATTATTTTTGTTGACTTGTGGCTGGAGGGGTTGGGAGGAAGGAAGAGCACTTGCCGTTATCTTCTCGAGTGTTTTTGTGATTGTGTCTCAGTAGTTGACAGAGTATGGGAGCTTTACAGTGCTCGCTGCCCTCTGTGCTATCATATCTTCCGAGACCTTCTCCAGGTTACAACAAACAGTGCCTCGTGGTGATAGGTAATGCTATCAGCCACCGGCTTCCTCGGTGTTAGATCCCAGGCCATCTCTCATTCCTGACAGTTAGTAACCGCTCCCAATGACAAGCCGATTGATTAATTTGCAGCTTATCCTATCCCTGTCTTCAGTGTAATGTTTGCAGTTCGGTTTGTGCCAATTGCCATAGCCCTGTCTTCGGGAATAGTAGTTAATGCGGTTGAAAGTGTCACATCGAGGCTGTGACACAGGGAGTGTGCCTTGTACAGGGTGACCAAAACATTGTGATCCCAATGCAGTGTCTCACAATGTACTTAAATAAATGATGATTTTTTGGGGGGTAATTGGATAGCTAAGAAATGAGAACATTGATCTCATCGTAAAGTCTGTACTTTATGCCCTGAACACTGTCTTCTGAAGAAATAAAGTAATTATTAGTAGAATAAATGGCATCACGACCTTTTTGGTCACTCTGTGTATCTTGTCTTGTTCCCTTGCTCGACACCAGCTCCGAGCACTTGCTTTGTGACCGAGTGGGGAGAATGGGAGGTGTGCAGCGCCACCTGCGGGATGGGCACGAAAAGGCGGCATAGGATGATCAAGATGCACCCGTCCGATGGCTCCTTGTGCAAAGTGGAGGCGGAACAAACAGAGAAGTGTCTGATGCCAGATTGCCGTGAGTGTCCAGGAATCAGACCCTGAGAGACGCAGCTTGGCTATTGACAAGCGGTTATCACACAAAGGAGAAGAGAAGGCACTTTCTCCTGTTTTACAGTTCCCCGGATTGTAAAGATAAATCGTTCATTCGCTTCATGGCTGTTTGCGGGGACCGTGGCTGTGCGCGCACTCGCTGCTACATTCGCCTACAAAATCCACAGTCACCGCACGTTACAGTAAATCCTTTGAGACTTCCTTCCCGATGTGAAAGGCACGATATCAGACACAAGGATTATTATCGTGGAGTCCTGTAGCTCGGTGGTTAGAGCACTCGCCTTGTAAGCGAGAGCCTGGGTTTGATTCCCGGGCACGGCTAAACCTTGGCCAAGTTTCCTTACTCCACCTACACGCCCTCTGGTTATCGTGCAGTCAGTAGGAACCCGGTTGTTAGCCGATTGACAGGGTGTGTAAAACTCAGTTAAGAAATGTCGCAAGTTGCCCCACAAACCACCTTGAGCAGGACATCACCATCACCATCTCTGGAATCGATGATTCAATTACACTCTGACAGCTCCCCCACGGCTCTCCTGTGTGTAATATCTGCTGTGTTTACAGTCACATGAATTTGGGGCCAAATGTTCGTTATGAGCAGAGCTGAGAACCTATTGTAATCGCTGTCCAGTAACACACCGTCCACACCAGGACAGATTGCCAGCCACAAACCCACCCCACAGTGCGGTGTGTGTCCTTCACAGAGCCTCACAATGCGTAGTTGTAGGATTGATCGTGACACACCTGGGATCAAAGGCATTCGATGGGGTAGATGCAGAGAAACTATTTCCTCTGGTAGGTGGGTGGTGGAATCCAGAACAAGGGTGGGGCATCATCTTAAAATTAGAGCTAGGACGTTTAGGGGTGAAATCAAGAGGCAGTTTTTCACCCAAAGGGGAGTGGAAATCTGGAACTCTCTTCCCCCCTCTCACTCTCTCTCCCTCAACTCCCCAAAAGGCTGTGGATCCATTCTCGTTGTCCAGACTGAGGTGGATTGATGTTTGTTAGATCAGGGGATTAAGGGGATATGGGGCAAAGGCAGGCAATTGGACTCGAGGTACAGATCAGCCATTATCTTACAGAACGGCAGAACAGGCTCAAGGAGCTGAATGGCCTCCTCCTGTTCCTATGTTCCCATAACTCTATGACTTTGTGCAGTGAAGCACTCCGAGACGTGGTTGGATGACTATTAATGGTTTTCACCCCCCCCCCCCTCCCATCTCTCCCTCTCTGTTCTGCCCCCCATCCCCACCCACACACCAGAGTCCATCCCCTGCCTGCTGACCCTCTGGTCGGAATGGAGTGACTGCAGTGTGACCTGTGGGATCGGCATGCGGACACGACAGAGGATGCTCAAATCTCCATCTGAAGTGGGGGAATGTAATGAGGAGCTGGAGCAGATCGAGAAGTGCATGTTGCCGGAATGCCGTACGTACACATTCCTAATGGGAAAGGGAGGAGAAGAGATTCAGCAATTAAATGCTAGGATTATTTTGATTGATTGGTTGGTTGGTTGGTTGGTTGGTTGGTTGGTTGGTTGGTTGGTTGGTTGGTTGATTGATTGATTGATTGATTGATTGATTGATTGATTGATTGATTGATTGATTGATTGATTGATTGGGTGGGTGGGTGGGTGGGTGAGTGAGTGAGTGAGTGAGTGAGTGATTACAGTAAAATCCTGATAACTGGCTACTCCACAGGAAAAGGGCTCAATGAGGAGTTATCCAGAGTAGCTAATTGAGCAGATATATAAATAAAATAAACAAAGACGTCCGGGATATTGACGACGCAATGTGTTTTAAGCGATAGTGACAAGTTAAGCCAGGGTTGAGTTATCAGGAGTTTACTGTGTTACGTTTCCGTTGCGTTGCAGCCACGGACTGCATGGTGACGGAGTGGGCAGACTGGTCAGAGTGCAACAAGTCGTGTGGGAAGGGTCACGTGATCAGGACGCGGATGATCAAACTGGAGCCGCAGTTCGGGGGGGCTCTGTGCCCCGAGACCGTCCAGCGGAAAAAGTGCAAACTGCGGAAATGCTCGCGGGGCTCGAGCGACGAGAAGAGGCGGCGCAAGGAAGCCCCCGAGAGACGAAGGAACAAACAGACGAGGGAAGAGTCTGACCTCCTGGAGCTCACAGGTACTCGGCAGGTTACAGTCACTGCACCTGGGGCGCGTGCAGCCATGTAACTTGTTGTTGTTGTTGTCGTTGTTGTTAGCCTGGCTCAACTTGGAGCACTGCTCGAGCTCTGTGTCAGGTCTCTGAACTCCTATAGCTCCATTGCTGTGTGTGTGTGTTGGGGTTTGGGGGGAACCTTGAATTGTCAGAGGTGCCATCCCTTTGGATGAGACGTTAAACCCGGAGCCTGTCTGCCGGCTCAGATGGATGCAAGTCGTCGTGTTTTTGCTGTGGTCCTGTCGAGCACACTGACTGTCCCTCAATCTCTCTTTCTCACACTCACTCTCATGCTCCCTCTCTCTTTCTCCCTCCCTCTCTCTTCCTCTCTCTCTCACACTCACTCACTCTCTCTCTCTCTCTCAGGGTGCAGGATGAGATCGTGGACGGGATGGACAGATTGTAGTAAGTTCTGCGGAGGTGGGATCCAGGAGCGTTACATGGTGGCCAAGAGACGCTACAGGGGGACCCAGCCCACCAGCTGCAGAGACAAGAAGGAAATCCGGGCGTGCAGCGTCCACCCCTGCTAGGAAGCTCGGGGCCTGGCCTGGCTTGGCCTGGCTCGGCCTGGCTTGGCCTGGCTCGGCTCGGCTTGACTCATGCATTGGGCCGATTGGGCAAAGAGGCTTTCCATGCTCTTTACGAACAAGAGCGAAGAGAACATTTCTTTATTTTCTTCTGTGTGACACAAAAATATCCCTTCTGTATCACCCTCTACATATCTGTACCCTCCGCGCGTACACTTAGCACAGAAGCCACTTAAAGCAATTTGCATCAGTATTTACCCTGTGGTCTTTTACTGTTGCATATCCCTAGTTTTCAAGTTACTGGGTGCAGTGTTTGTTTTTTGATTTCTCCCCTGTTCCCCACCACTGTTTTAAAGAAAAAAAGTTGCCATTTATAGCGCTGTGTATGTGAGAAAAAAAAGTTTTAAAATCTGTTATTATATGAACTGTAGATGCCTTATAAAGGAAAGCATTACTGTTATTGTTTGTCTTTAGGGTAAAGGGGGAGAGAGGGCTGAAAACAAAGTATAAAATCTTAATGAATTTAACATTTAAAAGAAAAAGTTTTATTTTGTGGATTGTCAAAAGTTTTGGTATCTTTATTGCAGATGTTGAGGAGGGTATCAGTATCACAGACATATACATATCTGACCAAAGTCATCCTGTAGTTTTAACAACATGTTTTATTATTTTATAAGATCCATTGTAACCTGTGGAGTGAGAGAGAGCGAACGAGAGTGAGAGAGAGAGAGCGAGAGTGTGATGAAGTTAAAATAGTATAAGGCTGGCTCAGCCAATTTTACCATTTGTAAAAAAAAATAAGAAAAAAGAAAAATATATAATTTTTGGTTATATATTAACTCGTCTGGTTACCATGTTTGACAATAAAACAAAATGGCAATAAGATGTTTGGTGTTGTATTCAGTGACAACGTGAACCGAGTGTTGGAAAAAACAGATTGCTTACCAAGACGCCATCTATAGAGCGCTTAACACGACTGGTGCGTTTGCAATGGGTGGGGGTACAACATTGAGTAACACTGGGGTGTACTGCCGAGGTCTCACTGCTCTTTGCTGTAATAGTGATCAGGGCTGTGGAGATGAGAAGACACACACACACCTGTGTATTGCACTCTGACCTCATTAGCTGCTGAGGCCTGTGTTTTCCCCCGTGAGGAGGCTGAATAAGACGGTGAGTTCTCGCTGTGCGGCTCTCCGGCGTCTCTCGGTATCTTGACACTATGAATCTATAAGCTGCGGATCCACAACCCCTGCTTTGTCTGTATCTCCTTCCCACACAATCGTGCAAAAGTGTCAGAGATGCCTTATGTGAAATGTCGGCACATTCACATTCATTAATTCCTAGAGAGAAATTTCAGAATGCAAAAGTGTGCTGGGTGAATTAACACAGGATCGATTCCCGTGGTTTCTCAAACCCCGTCACACACTCCAGGCTCCCCCCCCCGCCGCCCCCAAAAGCCTTGGCTCTCGCCAACCTGCGCTTGTTACTTTCCAGAATAAGGTAATCAGGATTGTGTCCCTCCAGGGAGAGAGAGAGAGCGCGTTCCATTCCAACAATCTCTCTCTGGGATTTCCATGTGCAGTTGGGATGCAGGAAATTCTCAGCTTGGTTTGGAGACTCTTAAGCAATGGTGATTGGTTTCCGCATGTGTCAGACGCCTGGTAGACTTCCCTGGTACTGTCACTACAGGTAGAGGGAGAAAAGCAACAGAGCAGGTGGCTGGCTGATTGCAAAGTTCCTGGAAGTTTATACTGAACACGTCCATGTGAGAACACTCCAAAAGGTGAATAAATGGAGTCCTGTAGCTCAGTGGTTAGAGCACTCGCCTCGCAAGGGAGGGAACCTGGGTTTAATTCCCGGCAAAGCAAAATGAGTAAGTTTCCTTACTCCAAACGCCTCTGTTTACCTAGCAGTAAGTAGGAACTCAGGTGTTAGTCGATTGGCAGATCACTTTTCCACAGATAATCCTTCCAAAAAAATAATAATAATTTGGTCACTCAATCCACGACTGTTTGTGGGACGCTGCTGTGCGCAACTGGCTGCTGCGTTTTGCCCACAAACTATACAGTCAATTCACTTTATAACAACAACAAGATTACATTTGTATTGTGCCTTTCACGTCGGGAGGACGTCCCAAGGCGCTGGATAGTGTACAGCATTTCAGACCCGATATACTTTACAGTATATCCTGTGAAGCGCATTGAGATATCTTGAAAATGTGATAAGGTGCTATATCAAATGCAAGGATTACTATTATTCTATTAAATGGATTAATAGGTTTGTATGATATCCTCTATGATAAGCACTATATACATTTTCTAACCGTTACCCAACTGTTGCTGAACATACACAATCACACTTCTGTGCAATTCCAAAGAAAGATACTTAATGTTATGGCTTTTGCAGGCAAAGAAACCGATGTTTAAGCTGGTCAGGCAGTGGAGCACTCAGTGTATAGTTTGCCAGGCATGTGAGCTGCTATAGTCAGTGTGCAGTTCTGTTTTCATACTTAACTAAAGCTCGGAAGCTTCCAGCTTGGTTTAAAACCTTTAGGCTCAAAGTCAGCAAAGTGTTGGTATCTATAACTGCTCATCAGTGGCAAAGACAACACTTGCTGTTTGGCCCTTCTTTCAAGTCACTGATGATATAATAAATAATATAATAATCATCCTTGCATTTGATACAGCGCTTTTCATGTCTTCTAGACGTCTCAAAACGCTTCACACAATATACTATAAAGTGAATTGACTGTATTTGTACGAATGCTGATCTCATGTTGTTTAAATGTAAATTGTTTTCCTGTTTTACTATAGTTCTTGCTTTCTCAGTGTTTAAAGGGATTAGTAATTGTCTTGGTTGTAAAAGTTCACATGAAGAATTCAGTGACATTGCAAAGTGCATAATTGAGTGAGTGGCAATGGGGTGTATGTATGTCTCATTGATTAGCAATAGGGTGTGTATCGTTGAGCTGATTAGAGCTGTTTGAAATAAGTGTGGAGAATTTTCTTGGTCTGAATTTAAAGCTATAAAAATGTTCTCCATGAAGTTTCTCCTCTCTGGGTTGGCTCCTATACACAGGTCAGTTGCTCAATCCAAATTGCAAATGATGTGAACACCGTCAGTAATGGAGTGTATCCTCCTCTCAGATAGTGTCTCCTCTCCTTGCTCATTTTAGAGCATCCATCTGCTCCTCTGTGTAAATCACAGGATTAGAAAGCTGCTGGTCAGCAGCGATGTCTCTGGGTACAAAGTGTTTACTCATCACACAACAACAAAATGACATGGATAGAGCGCCTTTCATGTCGGGAGGACGTCCCAAAGCACTGAACAGTCAGGTGTCGGGACCCGAACGTGGGGGAGGGGTGGTGTGAGGGAAGGTAGAGAGGTGGGAGGGCGACCAAAGGCACGGTCGAAGAGGAGGGTCTTGCGACCGGCCTTGAAGGAAGCGAGGGAGGAAGCGAGGCGAAGGGACCGTGGGATGGAGTTCCAGAGTGTGGGGGCAGAGAGGCTGAAAGCCCGACCATTGACGGTAGGGCGGGTCGGGCGGGAGACATGGAGCAGACCGGTGCCTGCTCAACAACTACTTCAGATTATCTTTGAGGACACACTGCATTGAAGCACATCTGGGCCTCAGTAACTCACAGCAGTGGGTGGCTGAGCAGAGAGAGGAACTGATCAATAATGCCTTCAATGCACACACTTTTCCATAAACTATTCTGTAGCACAGGACTGCCACAGGATGGTGCTGTGCGATAAGATTAAACCTGCTGTTGGGTACTTATAGCAAAGCTAATTGTCGATGTCCCAGATCACATTAAGGGACTGGGGCAAATCTATGTGTGTCTGCAGTGGGATCCATCCTCCCAGTACTTAGTGGAGTCCTGTAGCTCAGTGATTAGAGCACTCGCCTCGCAAGCGAGAGGAACTGGGTTCTGTTCCCAGGCAGGGCGAAACGTTGGGCAGGTTTTCTTACTCAACACGCCTGTTTACCTCGCAGTAAGTAGGAACCTGGTTGTTAGTGGATTGGCGGATCGCATTTCCAGGGATAATAATCCCTTAAAAAAATTAACATAATAATTTGGTCGCTGAACCCAGGATTGTGGGTGGGACGCTGCTGTGCGCAATTGGCTGCCGCGTTTCGCTCACAAAATGCACAGTCAATTCACTTCACTGAATTGAAGCGCTTTGAGACTTCTCGAAGACGTGATGAGGCGCTGTATCAAATGCAAGGATTGTATTATAAGTAACTGCAAGGAACTGAGCCTGTAGTTTTGCAGTTTGCTTTGTTTCCACTAGAAGGCGATCTGATCTAACTGGGACTCCCTGTGAGCTAACGTACACAAAGATCACTCGATTTGGTCCTTTGCCACGTGTTTTCACCTTTGCGTGGCTCAGAGGAGGCTTTTGATTATTACCGTAACAGTGATTTTGTCTCGGATATACAGTTGTGCCTTTCACGTCTGGAAGACGTCTCGAAGCCTTCAAGGGATTTACTGAGAGGTTTCGTGATTCCATTTTGTAGTCAAACGTGGCAGGTGATTTTACACATAGCGATGTTTCATAAACAGCCATGAAGTGAATGATCAGTTTTATCTGTGGGGATTGTTGGCCAGGACACAGCAAGAGAGAAACTCCCTTCTCTTTTAGAATAGTGCTGTGAGATCCTTAACATCCCCCTGAACAGTTTGATAGATGGATCCGACATCTCAGACAATGCAACTTGGACCATCCCCACTTCCCCCCCACCACTGACCTGGAGTGTTAACCAGGATCGTGAGCTCACAGTCCCTGGGGTTTTAAACCCACCACCTTCTGACTCTGAGGCGAGGGAATTGCAGACTGAGAACGACTGACACAAATAACCAACTGACAGATGCTTTCAATCGAAAAGTACTTGGCCAAAGTGCTGGAGGAGGTTTATACCATCAGGGCTCAGTACCTCAAGGAGAAAGTCATAGAATCAGAGAATATTACAGCCCAGAAGGAGGCCATTCAGCCCATTGTGCCTGTGCCGGTTGTTTGAGGAGCCACCCAATCAGTCCCAGCTCCCCCGCTCTTCCCCAAATCCTCGCAATTGTTTCCTTATTAAGTACATATCCAATTCCCTTTTGGAAGTTGTTATTGAATCTGTTTACACCGACCCTTAACAATAATAATCCTTGCATTCAATATAGCGCTTTTCACGTCTTCGACATCTCAAAGTGCTTCACAAAATAGACTAAAGTGAATTGACTGTATATTTGTGGGCGAAACGTGGCAGCCAATTGCGCACAGCAGCGTCCCCACAAACAGTCGTGGATTGAAGTGACCAATTTATTATTGTTTTATTTTCTTGAGGGATTATTATCAGGCGTGTGGAGGAAGGAAACTTGCCCAAGGTTTCATCCTGCTGGGAATCGACGCTTTCAGGTGGTGCATGGTTTTAGGGAAACGTTAACTTGCTGCCAGTTATATCACCCCCACTTGAAACAGCGCAATACGACCTCAGCTGTAAATCAAGGTGTCAATCCTGTTTTACTGCTCCAGTCCAGCTCCCACACTGGAAAATCAAGCGCAGTGTTGTTAGGATTAGGTAATGAGATTGTTAAAGATGAAAGTGGCTGTTGGCTTCTATAAAACACTTTTATAGAAGGAGGAAGAGGGGGCCAGGATAGTAGTGGATATTTAATGTGTTTCTCAATGTTTCAGGTGTGTTTTTAAGATATTAAAGTTCTTAGTTGATGGTTTTAATAAAGGTTTATGGTCCTTTTACAAAGGCCTGAAGTGCTTTTTTCTCCTATTTCTGGCAGCAAAAGCAACTGATTGACGTTTCAATTTAAGTGGAAATGTTCAGCCCAAGTGAATTATATTGCGGAGGTCCAGAGGTGTTTGTTGGGAGTATTT